TTTACAAATAATAATCCCTCCAAAAGCCATCGCAAGTGCTATGAAAGGGATTATCCAATACTCGGCTCGTATTCAATGGATTCAAGTCTTTGATAATAAATGTATTGTTTGTCAATAGTTTCGGCCAATTGTTATGCGGTTTACTAAAACACAGAAACAAAACAATTATCAAGCAAAAAATTACTTAAAATTACAAAATAAGACTAATTAATGTTATAAATACCTGTATTTTGCAAAATCAGTCCACAATCTCATAGCATAGCGACTGAATTCATAATCGCTATCTGAAAATGACCATGGTACATCAAATGGTATGCCAAACACATAGGTTGTATCGATACCGTGATTGATGGCCATAGTGTCCGGATCGTAACCAAACGACTCAATTGTAGATCTGTGTCCATAAGTCAGTTCATAGAAGTAGACATTTTGAGTATGAGTTGGTATATTTCTGGCAAATTGTTGTCCGAATAGATATGTCGGACAATTCAATGCCATATCACTGACAAAGTGATAGAAAGCTAAGCGAAGCGCTGTTTCATCGGTAGTGTTGACAGATTTCAGGTAAAAGTCGGTTACTTTTTGTGTGCTTATATTACGAAAGCCAAGTTCTGAGGATTTATTAACCATTTGTTTAAATATATCGACCGATATATTAGTAACGGATCCCATATATGAGTCCCATACATGTGATCCTTCATCTCTGGGCAGACATACCATTAAATCGATGTCTAAATAAATACAATCAATTTAGTTATTATGCTTCTCTCTCTCTCTCTCTCTCTCTCTCTCTCGAAAATTAAACCTGAATTGAATTTTTTGTTTTCAAATGCCTTTTGTGTAAAAATGGGCAGAAATTCTGTGCCAAACACCGGAAATGTGATAAACTTTTGAAACTCTGGGATTGATATCGAGGCCCCATATTTGGGAAACTCTTTGGCGTCGACTTCTCTCAGACATTGCAACCAATCTTTAGATTTACTGCAATTGAAATGTTTGGCCGTATTTTTGGCCATAACTAGTGCTTCAGATTTAGTGATTGGTTCCATCCCTTTCCCGAACATAACAGACCCGCTCTCCATAATAGCCCTCTTGAATAGGCCTTTGGTGGTCTGACTATCGATGTGTTGAACACAAGTGTTGACCAGTTTTTGGCCATACCTTATGCCGAACCCCCGGTAGGGGTACTCAGGTTTGCCAAACCGGTGCCACTCAGACATCCCATACAAGTATTTATCGAAACCTTTACAATAAAAATAATCATTAATTTAAATTTAATTAAAATAAACCTTATATTTAATATTTTTAAGAACATAATAGACGGCACAGAGACTGGAAACTCTTGTATGCAATTAATTCCCGATTCATTAAAGGATTTCTTTGGGAATTTAACCCTAAGTGAAGACTGTTTGGTATTAAACGTATGGACACCACATGTGGACAGATGTGGACTGTCAATACAGAGGGCACCTCTAAAACCGGTCATGTTTTGGATACACGGTGGGGGACTCGTATTGGGCTCATCTTTTCAGGAGATGTATAACGGCTCAGCTCTGACCACTCATGATGTGGTGGTTGTGTCCGTCAACTATAGGTTAGGACATTTCGGGTTCCTATACGGGGATCGGGAGGACGCGCCCGGAAATGTCGGCTTTTATGACCAGTCATTGGCTCTCAAATGGGTATTCATTGATATTTTATTTTAATTATAAATTCTATTCATTGATGAAATAATTCATGAATTAATGACTTAATAATAGGTTAGAGAAAACATTCATCAATTTGGCGGAGATAGGGATCAGATCACCATTTTTGGTGAGAGCGGCGGAAGTATCTCTGTGTCCGCACACATACTCTCCCCGGTATCTAAGGGCTTATTCAAGAGGGCTATACTGGAGAGCGGCGCCCATATGTTCAATAAGGACAGGGATTTGAAGACAGCTTCAGAAGTGTTAACTGAATCCAAACAATTGGCCGCACATTTGAATTGTAGTCAAACACCGATTGAATGGTTAGAGTGTTTGAGACAATTAGACGCCGATAAGCTCAATGTGGCCGCACTTACCGCCGGCCCTACTGTTGGCATTCTTGGCACTGAATTCCTCCCGGTGTCCGCACACCAGGCCTTTCAAACCAAACACTTTAACAAAGGTTTGTCTATATTTATATGAATAAAGTATTTACATTAATGTAAATTTTATTACATAGATTTAGATGTGTTGGCCGGTGTGAACCAACACGAGGGTTCACTCCCAGTATCGATGTTATACCCGGGAATTCCCAATAATTTAACCGAAATAGAGTTTTACGATTACGCGCAAAAATTTGACTCAATGTTTCATAACCTAAACGCCGACAATATTACCACGTTTTACATGTCGTCCATCAATAAGTCGGATCCCGAAGCAGTCAAATGGCAATTGTATGACCTCTTTGGCGATCTTATGCTCAATTGTCCGACACATCAGTTTGCCGTCAATTACGGCCAACAGTCGGCCAAAAGTAATGTATATTTTTATGAACTTACATATAAGAGGACGCCTACAACACCGGGTCCAGACATGTTTGGTGTCACTCATGGCGATGAAGTGGCCTTTGTTTTTGGTCTACCATTACTTTATCCACAAAAATCCGATACAGAAGTAGACAAACAGTTTAGTCGGGATGTCATGAAAATGTGGACCGATTTCGCTAAATATGGGTAAGAATTTTGTGGATTTTTGTTTGAATTTTTTATTTTAATTATTTATAACTATTTTAATATATTTAAAGGAAACCAACTGTCGATTGGCCTAAATTTATTGACAACAAAGTGAAAGATTATGTGCCGAAAGCCAAAGAACTTAATCCATACAAACTTTGGCATAATTTCCACAACTTATTCAATACTACTTGCGATGGCTTTTGGAAACACTATTATAATTAATTTCACAATAAATTTTTATAATTATTTTAATAAAATAAAAATACTAAAATTCGTAAAATTATTACAAAGATATTTAAAATTATTTATAAATATGATTATTTTTAACATGTTTACGCAATTCATGACTTGTTACAAACATTTATTACAATTATTATGAATACATTTATGACTTTTTATTTCTAAATGCTTTTTTATGTGTTTATTGAGATTAAATTTTTGGGTAAAACTTTTGCTGCAATTAATGTAATTACAAATATATGGTTTTTCTCCCGAATGTATTCGTTTGTGTAAAATAAAATTTATTTTTCTTGAGAAACTTTTGCTGCACTTTTCTTCATAACATTTGAATCTTTTTTTATTAAAATGAACACAACTTTTGTGTTGAAATAAATTCTGTTTTGATTTAAAACATTTGTTGCATTCATTAAAATCACAAATAAATCTCACATTTAAATGAATGCTTTCTTTGTGTAATTTTAAACCACTTCTTGTTTTAAAGTTTTTATTACAATTATTAAAATCACATTTAAATTGTTTTATTTTTGAATGCATTAACTGGTGTTTATTTAAATCACCTTTATGTTGTGTCTTGTACTGACATTTAGGCCAAAAACAGAATTTATTTCAACACAAAAGTTGTGTTCATTTTAATAAAAAAAGATTCNTGATTGATTGAAAAATAATCATTATTTTCGCATTCAATCGCTTCACACAAAACACTATTATTTGTATTAAAAATACACTGAATTTTGTCTATTATTTCACACAAACTCTTCATTGCATTTAATTTACTCTTCATTTTAATCAACGAAACACTCATTAATTTTGAACACATTTTATTAAATAATTTTACACAAATCGATACAACAAACTGTTTTATATTTGAATTGCACTCAATCTTTATCATCAGGAAATGGAAATGCATTTAAATCTCAATTGTATGACTGAAATACCGGTTCATTATTCCATGTGCTTTTATTAATCATTGAATACCTGTTTAACAACTTTTACCAATATTTTTGAAGGTATAAAATAAATAAGGCTAGAAATGATATTTTAAATGTATATTTCAACATGATTCATTTATGAGATTTTACATTAAAAGTATTAGATTAAGGTGCAAAACATACAAAATTACACTTTAATATATATTTTTTACCACCTTTTTACCACTTTTTTCTAGCTTTAAAAATAAATAGCATTTATTGCTTGTAATAAAAACTTTCATAACATAACTAATCTTCGGGCAAAATCCCGCGTAGACCCAAAACATAGATTAATTTATCAAGATAACAATAAAACTTGCACATCACCCATAATTCTTTATAATTACTACCTTGATTAAATAAATAAATTACGCTAACCTTATTAATGCTAATTTTATTTTCATTATCATTTCATTAGTTCGATATAAACACGTTATTTGACTTAAATAATTGCTATGAAATCCTTAATTATTTTCATTAAATAATTATTGCAAAGCTGTTCAAATAGAAAATTAATTAAACTATTTACATTTTATATAATATTTAATACAGTATATATTATGGGGTTTGCTGTATAAATAATGCTTTTGAATTGAATAATGTAATTTACAATAAAATAAATATTACATTTGAAATAGTGAAATAAACATTAATCATGGTGTTGTAATTAAATATAATATTTTAATTAAGCTTAAATTAAGTGAGCTTATTAATTCTATTTAAATAATTGTTGTTATAGATTACAATTCTAAAATTAATTTTTCAACAATTGTGTAATTTCTAAAGTAAAATAAAAATGTTTACAAAATATAATTCATTATTAATTGTATTTATATTAATATTTTATGTGAATTTTAACAATTGTATTGATGTTAAGACAACATCGGGTGTAGTGAGGGGTCAGACACTACATGTGCTCAACAAAACTGTTGACCAGTTTTTAAATATACCTTTCGCTGAGCCGCCGATCAAAAATTTAAGGTTTGCTAAACCAATACCTTTGAAAACACCAATTAAGGTAAAATATAATACATTTTTATGTAATATTCTTAATTGAAACAAATGTATATTATTATAAGAGTTAATTTTAATCTAGGGTATAATCGATGGAACAAAACCTGGTAAAACATGCATACAATCGGGTCGATTAGCGTCATATAAACGGCTCAGTGAAGACTGTTTGGTATTAAACATATGGACACCAAATGCGGGCAATAATAACACAAACAAATCACAACTAAAACCTGTTATGTTTACCATATATGGCAATCCTGGTTTAGATACGGGAACTATATTTGTAATGCAGTCCAATGGAAGTTACTTAACTGCACATGGTGTTGTGGTTGTGGCGGCTAATTACCGATTAGGACAGTTGGGCTTTCTATACGGGGATCGGGAGGACGCGCCCGGAAATGTCGGCTTTTATGACCAGTTATTGGCTCTCAAATGGGTATTAAATGTGATTGTGTTATAATTATAATTACTATTTACTAATGAAATACTTAATCAATATATGCCATAATAATAGGTTAGAGAAAACATCCACTCATTTGGCGGAGATAGGGATCGGATCACCATTTTTGGTGAGAGCGCCGGGAGTTGGTCGGTGTCCGCACACATACTCTCCCCGCTATCCAAAGGCCTATTTAAGAAGGCTATTATGGAGAGCGGATCCGTTATGTTCGGGAAAGGGATGGAACCGATCTCTAAATCTGAAGCACTAGTTATGGCCAAAAATACTGCCAAACATTTCAATTGCAGTGAATCTGAGGATTGGTTGCAATGTCTGCGAGGAGTCGACGCCAAAGAGTTTCCCAAATATCGGGCCTCGATATCAATCCCAGAGTTTCAAAAATTTATTACATTTCCAGTATTTGGCACAGAATTTATGCCTATTTCTACACAAAAGGCGTTTGAAAACAAGAAATTCAATTCAGGTTAGGATTTTATAATAATTATATTAAATATAATAATTAAATTAATTGTATTTATTTAGACATAGATTTAATGGTATGTCTGCCCAGAGATGTAGGATCACAAGTATGGGAATCATATATGGGATCCGTTACTAATATATCTGTCGATATATTTAAACAAATGGTTAATAAATCAGCACAACTCGGCTTTCGTAATATAAACGCACAAAAAGTAACCGACTTTTACCTGAAATCTGTCAACACTACCGACGAAACAGCGCTTCGTTTAGCTTTCTATCAGTTCGTCAGTGATATGGCATTGAATTGTCCGACATATCTATTCGGACAACAATTTGCACGAAATATAGCGACTCAGACCCAAAATGTCTACTTTTATGAACTGACTTATGGACACAGATCTACAATCGAGTCGTTTGGTTACGATCCGGACTCAATGGCCATCAATCACGGTATTGATACAACCTATGTGTTTGGTATACCTTTGGATGTACCATGGTCATTTTCAGATAGCGATTATGAGTTTAGTCGCTATGCTATGAGATTGTGGACTGATTTTGCTAAATATGGGTATTTATAACAATAATTAGTCTTATTTTGTAATTTTAAGTAATTATTTGATTGATAATTGTTTTGTGTCTGTGTTTTAGTAAAGCGGACAACAATTGGCCGAAGTTTTTGACAAACAATACATTTATTATGAAAGACTTGAATCCAATGAATACGAGCCGAGTATTGGATAATCCCTTTCATAGCACTTGCGATGGCTTTTGGAGAGATTATTATTTGTAAAAGTATTGTAACAAAATAGCAAAACAGTTTTGTGGTAATTCACATTTTACTTTAAGACTTATAAAAAATTGAAACATCTTGCCTTATGTTTGCAATTGTTCGCGTATAGTCATTAGTTGTAAATAAATACACAATGTGTAGAAATAGGTATGTATTTATTTACACAACATGTCATGTTTAATAATATTTGTAAATTCATAAACATGTCTTCAGTGGTTTTAGTCAAAGTTCCTAATTTCTTAAATAAATAAAACAACAATTACCATTAATATAAATTATGTAATGTTTAGTTGTTTTAAATTAATCATTTAACTCGAGGCCAATCCGTTGGGAAAGCCGAGGCTCAGTCCCCGCAGCCTCAGCAAAGTATCTTAGTATTAATGCAACATTTTTTACCCCTAATGGGGATAATTTTATATATAATTTATATATAATTTTATATTATTACTTTTAATAATTATATTTGTTACAAAAACATTTATTTTGTGCAAAAAAAATATTCACACATTCATACACACAGCGGATGGCTATGGATGCGTTTTTCTCTTTCAAACTTATTGTAAAATGTATTAAACAGTTACATTATAAATACATACAACATTATTATGAATCATTTCAAAAACACTTACATTTAGCGCAAATCACTTTATTATTAATAAAACTCTATTTTACAATTTATTACATAGTGGTCAAACCTATAACAAAACAAAAATATTTTATACAGGCTTGTGTTGATGTAAATTACTTGCATTTGAATACAGCAAATGTGCATACAGTACACGAGTGCCGAACGATCCTATAAACCACATTATTCCTATCAGAATAGTGGTTAAAAATTTAATTTAGGTTTGACCACTATGTAATAAATTGTAAAATAGAGTTTTATTAATAATAAAGTGATTTGCGCTAAATGTAAGTGTTTTTGAAATGATTCATAATAATGTTG